ACCTTGACGCTACCAGAAGTATGTGAGTGCAGCGATCTCAGCATGTTCACCTAATTCTACAGCATTCTTTTGCAAGGGAGCGAACCTGTAAGGGATGCGTGATGAACTGAGTCCAAAGTTCTTTCTAGGTCGCAGAACGCAACAACCGCTGGTAGACGGTGTATGGCGTAGTTCAAGTGTTGTGAAATGCTACTCACTTGTGTTTGGTCGGTAATGTTCTGTGATTAAAATCAGAACAAGTCCCTCGACGCCAAATAATATATTTGTGAAGAATAAACAGCCTGCTCTACCTGTTACTCTATAAGTCGCGATGTTTTCCGATGGCAGGTTTCTTATAATGTTTTATGTTATGCATGCAAAATTAGTCACCTTCAGTGTGTATTGTGCAATAAACAACTCTCCTCCATCAGCACTGCCTTTTCGGAATATAGCAATTGGTGCCGTCGCCAGGATCGGGTTGGAGTTTCCGTGGCTAGCTGCATTCGAGGTTGGGGATTTGCAGATCTTCCTGGAGGATTTCGAGGATGTGGCTGAGCTGGCCGACGGATCGCGGCAAGTTGAGGGCCTTCCGAGCGTTCCTCCAGAGTCGTGCGCGGGCAGTGTTGGACGCGGCACGAAGAGGCCCGGAGAAAATGGAGTGGGCCGCCGCGAAGGACGTCCTGATCGCGGGCTTTGACACCCCGGGCGACCGCCATGAGGCACTCCGTCTCTTCAAGATGCCGCAGCTCGGAGTCGGTTTCGACCCACGTTCGCATGTCGTGGCCCTGCCTGGGCTATTGGATCGCGCACTACCGACATTGGATGAGAATGCTCGCTCTGAACTACTTGTTAAGCGTTTCACAGAGAGCTTCCCGGAAGACATACGCAAGAAAGCGAAACTCATTAATGTGGCACGTACCATGGACGTAATGACGCTAGCCGAAGTTGTGAGGGAATTCATCGATCAGGAAATTGCGGCGGTGCAAACGCATGAAGTCCTTAAGGATGAGCCACCGGAAGACGTGAAGGCCACAGTCGACAGACTGACGGGTGAAGTGACGGCACTCAAATCAAATTTCGAGCGGAAGAAAAACACAAATGCATGTTTTCATTGTGGCAGGCGAGGTCATTGGCGGCGAAATTGCCCTGAGAGATATAATAATAATAATAATATTAATAATGTATATTTCACAAAGCCCGTGAAGCATGCACAAGGCATGATCACATGTGCTGAATAATCATATGTACAACGACAGTTCAAGTATATAGATAGACTACTTGGAAGACGTACATACTGGAGGTGGTAGGGGAACAGAACGAAAACGCTTTGAATACGGAACGTAAAGCGGACGAGGTCACAAACGTTGGTGTGGAGGATGGAAGAATGTGCTGTATAAGTATATCAGTCGTAATTGAAGTAACTGTTAACCCGTTATTGAGGGGATTCGGCGTCCGGCTCTAATGGGAGAAGATACAAAGAGATAGAATGTAGGCCAATAGACGGGAAAAATGGAGTCACAAGGACAAAGATAAATAGGAAGGAGTACAGCGAGTTCATACGCTTGCCGAGAATGCGGACGCATGCAGACAAAACCGTGGAAACAGCCGTGCCCAACAAACACTGGCGGGGCCAAATTTT